TTTTTCCTTTTTTTTTTTTTTTTTTTTTTTTTTTTAAGGAAATGAAGATCGCTTTGACTGGAATTCGCATTAATCTTCGATATAATCGACAACACGCGTATCGTGCGATTTCAATTTGTCGATATTAATTATGCTAGTTTACTGCGAATTGTTGAAAGTTCTAAATCGATTTAGAATATTTTAATAATAATAGCAACTCGGTATAAAATCTTCCGCTCGATCTAGTAATTCCGAAAGAATTTTAACACGCGTTGTCGAGTATCTTGAGAATCTTCGAAAATGCTCGCGATATAAAAATTTATCTATCAAAAGTTTGAACAGAGTTTATATAGCGTTCGCTAAAGAGTAAGATCAGAATAAGTGGACATAGAATTTGGAAAACTAAAGCCAAAGAGCAAAAGATAATAAATACATAGATATTATGTTTGAACGATACAGCAATAGCTTCAGAGTAAAATGGATAAAATATTCTCAGGTTTCTAGGACATTCAAATTTTCTTACAATCGATCTACGTTAAGGATACATGACGTAAATGTTATTAATATATTGTATCGTATACGTTACTAATATAAATATTATTAGAAGGTTAGTACGTATGAGATACTCACAGTATTAATCACTTTTAAACGCTGTATCGCAAGTTGCAAGGTCGCCTTACCTACAAAACTGACAGTAATTTTCTTTCCTATCGCGTATTGTTCACAAAGAAGATCGTACTCGTTTCTCAGCTTTTTGTAAATTTCCCAGTCTTCTCGCATAATATCCAGCAAACGTTTCATCTGTGTGATTCACGTGAACGTTAACGTTAACTTCGACACGAGAGACACGGCAAACTTACCTGTTTGAAATTGTAAAAGAAATTGATATACTTCGCGAGGCACATCAAACTGATCATAAAAGGCGCGAAACCTTCCAGTAGCGAGTCTATGTCGTTGGCAGTTATGGCAGTTATCATACCGCCACCCTAAAAGAAGGAAATCCATACAAATTCCAATGAAATTGATATTTCGGTAAAACGTTCCACGAGAGAAGAAATGAAAATTTCTTAATAATATACATATAGCATATGATAACGACTATTACGTAACACAAGACTATTACATTCACATCAGACTATACAGGGTACATCGAAGTAAAATAACATGGAAATAATTACGCGAATCTCAACTTGTACTAATTTTCAAGCATCGTTACACGCAAACCAACTATCAACACTTTGACTGCCACGCCGAAATCACAAGGTTCGCTTAGAACCCCACGAGAGTATTTTTATTATTCAAAATATATAATGGCGAAATAATAATAAATTGATCATATAAAACGACATTCTTCCCAATGGACCATTTATTTTATTGGTGGTCACCGGTGACCACCGTGGCACCTTGGTAACAGTTGACAGCGACATATTGTAACAAGGCTTCGTTTATTTCAACAAATCATTCGCATTCGTTATTTCGTCATAAGCAAAACGCGCAGAATACAAGGTGGTTGGTAACTGGTGGTACGAGCGGAAAGGGGGTGATTCTACGCGAAAAAAGAAGTCGAAAATGTAGAATAAAAATTTTTTTTTTAATTTTTCCATCGAAACAACGATCTACAGTGAGATCCGTTACAACGAGACGCGATAAAGTGCACGCGTACCGAGCGAAAATTCAAAGTCGATTTTCTCAAAAACAAAACCTCGAACGAAAAATGTTTATTCTATATTTTCGACTTCTTTTTTCGCGTAGAATCACCCCTTTTCCGCTTGTACCACCAGTTACCTGTATATTGTTGAAACGTGTAGAAGATATTAGTAAACAGTATTTGTTCGTTCTATGTATAATAGTAAGGTATGTACACGCTTCTAACTTCAATTATGCGATTAGAAAGCAGCATTTACGATTACTTTCTAAGCTGTGTTTATAATAATATTCGTAGATTACTCCTCAAAGATATGGATGCAGACACAGTGCACCGTTATATGCAAGAACTGTTTTTATTTCTTTTTTATTGACGTTCTAATAAAAATGTTTAATCGCTCGATGGGGTACTTTTTATTTCAAAGTATCTTCTATTCATCGGTTATATTCAAAATGCCCTAACTGTCAATTTTCATACAATTTTTACAATTGTAAGAAGTTCGAGCTCTCCGGTCACCAATGACCACCGTGGAAAATCGACCGAGTTATTTTTTAAATCGTTCATTGAATCATTCGCCGCTTTATTACACTGTCAAAGCATGAAGACGATCGGATGTCGAAAATATTTAAAATATAACGTTTGTAAAACTATATTTGATAGCAGAACGAAAATGAAAATACGCGCAGTTATTTCGATACATCGATATTTGTTTCGCGGGGTTTCAGCGAACAGCAGAGTATACACCGAGTAACGTGATTAATCGGCGGAATAAGTCGAGGTGCGAATAATTCGAGGTTCGTTGCAATGAACAAAATAGCTCTGCAGATATAGATATTTATAAATCAAGTCCGATATCCGACTGTGAGGTGGAATATATTTGTTTCACAATGTGCATCAATACCTGTAGGATCACTTGAGCAACAATGATGGGAATGAAAACGATCGCAACCAAACTCCTTTGCAGAGTAGTTTGATACGGCCAGATGCCGATCGTAAATAGAAGGTACTTATTGAGTCTCAAGTACTCATATTGAGTACTATCCATGCCGAGATGTTCGATGTTTCAATGTATTTTCCACGACTACTTGCCAAAGACTGGCCTATGAAGTTTAGCCAGACCTATCAATTGTAGAACATTGAAGATCCGTTCAACAGGGACGATTACTGTCATTAAATATTCCGTTTCATAGTCGATATTCAAGGAACAGCTACGCGAAATTGATTCGTTCAATCCGTCACGCAAACGATTGCAAGCAATAGGTGAAACCACGGTTGACGATTTGTTTAATTGAAAGACTGAATTGCGTTAATTAAATTCTTTCGAGAATCTATTATTTCTGCATAAAGAATCAAAGGCGAATCGAGAAACGTACGACCGAAGTGGCGTTTTCAAATCGACTATTCATGCTGGTACACGCAATCTGGAAAATACGTAAAATGAAGTGAGACATTCTGCGAAGTTACATGCCAGTTTCGATTTATAATTAAAGGATACAGCATCGATTGCTAATTAATGGACATCTAACTTGCGGTACAGTTCTTGGTTGCCAGTATTGGTCACAGTTGTGTAAAATATTATTTCAAGTTGTAAATAGCAAATAGTCGTACTTTTTTTTTGGCAATAAAATATTTTATTTGCGAGAAAACTTTTTAAACGTATTTATATTCAAACATTTATAGTCGAAATATTTCGTTTATTTTAATTTATTTTTGTCGGCCATCCAACGTGAATATTACGCTGGATTCCGAAATAAAATATGAATAATAATACGGAATAAAACGGTATTGCGAATGTGCACGTGATGTTACTCGATTCTTTATTTTTTATTTCAAGAAACGAACAGAGATGCGTTTTAAGATGAATATAAAAGCCCTTGGTGGAAGGTAGTAAGTATCGCGCAGTATAAATTTTTATTCTCGATATTTATATAATCGTAAGGATTAACGATTTTCAATCGCATTAAAATCCGGAGCAAGCAACGATATTCAGAAAATTATTCGTACAGCGATAATTTAATAACACGATCTCTTTCATATTTCGTAATACGTACGATGAGACGAAATAATAATATTGCGAGTAATTACGCTATTACAAGTAACGTTATTAAGAAACAATTGCAAATTTGAAAATTACATATATAACAAGTTCTTACATATATTCGTCATTTTTATTTTAAGAAACAGAGTAAGTTTTTTTTTTTATATACAATTCTTCGGTCGTAGATTTAAAATTGAACAGTTTGAAAATACACAACGACTTCGTAACGATCGTTATCTTCGTTTTAAAAAAGAAAATATGTTGTTAACTATACACATTTAGTCTTTTAATCTTTCATTATTTCAAAATTGTTTCTTTACGTATCTGCTATAATTCTTTAGATTCGCTGTAAAGTCGTACGTATCGTTTTGTAAACGTAACACGATTGCTATTCCTTTATCGAATTTATCGAGCAACGTTCGTTGACAGCCAACAGATATGCGATCGAAGAAAATTAATTTTCAGTTAAGGGGACGATATTAAATTTATAGAAGTTGGTTCTTGAATTGTTTTTATAAAATACAGCATAAATATTAAGAGATACATCCATAATTATATTGAAAATACTTAACATATTTATTATTTGTGTTACTTCTTACAGCATGATATTCCTCATTAAATAAACCCAATGAAAATTCAACAGATCAATGTAAAAGAAAACACCGATTAACCTCGTGATCTTCCGTTGATTACGTGCCAATTGAATTGTTCCGAAATGAATTTATTACGCGAATTAAATGTAAATGAATCTATCAGACTTTAGCGTAATTTATAGCGTCAGGTGCAAGTTGTAACAGAAAATAGTTCTAACTTTATAATATCATCGTAACGAATTAACGCTTGAGATCAAGATTAATTAATCAATTAATGCAGGCAAACATTTCAAACGATATTCTTCACAGACAAAGCTTAAAATTAATTAGCAAAAGAAGAAGAAAAGAGACTACATCTCCGCTAATTCGTTCGCTCATCTGGTCAATTTTTCGTTCACTTTGTTACATCTCATCTTATCGTATTTCGTCGATCAATCGGTGATAAACGTCACCTCTGTTTAATAGATTTAAAGCTATCGACGCGACGAACCATCTTCGCGAAAACAGAGATTACAATGGGATATGAAAGGAGTATCTGACAGAGAAACTGGAAGAGTCACACGCGACGAGTATTAAAAGAAACCTAAGTTCTTGGTGACTTTCTGCTTCTTATTCGATTTAAAATGTACGATACGAGTATCGATATTAACTTACGTGACAAGAATATACTATATATAAATTTCATTTAAGACACTTTTGAATTGCAATCGTTGAGAATTGCAGAACGTCGGTTTCGATCGACAACGCACACAGTCCACTTTCAAATTTCCGCTAAAATCAAGTGCTACGTTTCTCGCTTGTTCCCTTTTCGTGCGCCGGCCAAATCGCAGCAAACTGTCGTTTGAAATATTAAATACGCGTTATACGTACAGCAAACAATGTTATTCGTGCACCGAGTGGCGAAAACTATTCGACTACTCGCGGACAATGTATTGCGTGCGTTATACGAGAAAACATTTTGAAATTTGTTGTTGCCACTGTTACGAAACTCGATTACCATGATTACATTGATAACGTTTCAAATCGATCTGAAGATGTCAGTACATAGAACTACGAGGCATTTAACGCGAACACGCGAGCAGGACGCGATCGAACGTGGAAAGATGAGAGAAGACCGTGAAGTAAAATTTGTTTATTCTCGACTTGAGCTTTTAACGATTAGAGAAAATCTAGTTCGAAAATTTATCAAGTATAATTGAACGTGGCCGATTTCACTGATTGGGCTGGACAGGAATAAATAATCGTTGTACGTGTGAGAGTAACATTTGTTCGGGAGACTCTTCGTTTGCGAGAAAAATAAGTTTGAAAATTCATCCTATTTTCTTGAAAATAATATTTTAAATGGGAAAATATCATTCTACGTTTCTGATTTATTTTCACGCGTAGAATAACTTCTCGTTGATAGTTTAACCCTGTCCAGTTTCGAATCAACCACGTTCGGGTGTACTCGATAAATTTTCAAATTTCATATTCTCGAAAACTGATCCGAGAAATTTTATTCCATACTTTTCCTTATTTTTCCGCAAAGAATCGCGTCCTGCCCGATTTTACGTGTTAGTCGAACAGACTCTGTATTTATATTTCGTAGAGATGACAAAAGTATTTAAAAACAGTCGATTAAGCGTTACATTGTTAAACCTGGATATTAACAATTATTATTGTTATCGTATCCTTCGGATGGCTATTTGTAACTGTATATTAATTTTTTATTAACGCATTTGCAATAAGTGTTTTGCAATTTTTATATTCATATTCAGACTGATTTCATATTTTACCAATACAATCGTGACAAGTATCGTAGTACTAATGAATTTTCGTTATCAAATACCTTTCATTATAGTACTAACAAAGTTTCAAAATGTTTAATATACAATATGCACATAAAATTGTTCTAAAATCGTAAGTGTTCTAATACTATCGTGAGTCAGTATACATATATCGTAAATAGACTGCGGATTTTTATACATTTTTTGGGGGAAATTTGAGAATGCAAAAATACACAGAATGAAGATACGCGAATATATATACGCAAAATATTCAGAGTATTTTATCGTTTGTTAATATATTTGGTAGGTAAGATAAACTATCTACGTTTCGTTTTAATTATTTACAAAGATACGAAGTTGCTTAAATATCCGCAGTCTAATTATTTAATAACATTTATAGACACGATATTTCTATTATTTATAATCGATAGAATGTCGATTAAAAGGAAGGTGATGATAATAAATCTCTACCCTTTTTTTTTTTGTTGTTGATCGAGATCTTTTCTTTTCGTCATTGATGTTACATCTTTCGTTCCTCGTAACATTAAAAAATTCAATAATTTAAACTACTATCTAAACGTTACTTTGCTTATCCTTCTTATGTCTGTAACGTAACTATAATAAATACTTTCTTAAAACAGCAGCGCTTAGAATTCTAAATTTATGTCTACGTATCTGTACATAAATTCAAAAATTCCAACATTGCGTATGAAGAACCATCCATCGTTCGATTCCCGACAAATTAATCGACGAACGTGCATTTTAACAGAAACGTTAAGGCATTTTTTAAAAAATGGAATTATTCAGCTTGTCTTACTATACTCTCTCTCTCTCTCTTCGGTATCGTTTTACGTACATTATCGAACAACTTGAAATCACTTGCTCAACTGTATTTTACATATACAGCGAATCGTCTATCAATTTCATTTATTATTTCGATTAATTCGAAACATAATAGACATATTAATTCGAAATCAATGCTGTGGTATCTCTTGCTCGAATAAAATTCCGCACGTAAAGCTTTCTTACAAATTTTTACTTTTCATGGGATTACCTAACGATCTCATATTTTGAACAATAATGTACAATGACATGATATTTGTATATTATACGTACGATGAATGAAACGATAGATCTATAGTAGAACAACTAGAAAACGAAGACAACGAGAAACATGGAATTTGCGTCAAATGGCGCAATCTCGTCTCACACCGAAAGTGTCTTAAACTTATGCTGGCGATAGTGTAGCTTTATCGGAGTTCACACGTTGATAGTAGCGTGTGTCACCGTCACAAAGTTAACACTGCAATTCCAGTGAAACGTCGAAATTTATCTCTCTCGAATTTAATAAACGAAAATATTTCAAACGACAGTTTCCAACGACCGACGCAATCTCTGCGACGCTAATCCCGCGATCAAAATATAAAAGCGACCATCAGCGAAATATAAAGCGGGTTCCACGTCGTCCTAAGGGTGTCAGTGCTCGACCAATGAAAAATGAACGATATACTAAGTGTCCCACTCAACTTGGACAAGCTGTCGTTCTGACACGCTAAAAGATAGAAGAGAGTTTCGCTAGACAGAGTTTCGCTTTTTCTTAATGTAATCTTAAGATCGTCCCTGTTTCTTCAAACAACGATAAGATCACGAAGACGCGAGAACTCGATGGCCGCCCATTTTTCGTTACAGAAAATCTCAATAGACGTGTCAAAGCAGACACGCGATATCTTTTGCGAAATTGAAAAAGTTCTCGAGTGGAGAACGCTATTCAGGAAACTGTGTCGATGCTCGGATGAACTCGCGACGAAAGTGTACGTCGTAATCGTTCGAATCAAACTGATATCGCGAGAAACGCCCAAGTACACGTACCAAAGTTGCGATCAAAGAATCTTTTCAGAATGCATTTGTATCGTCGTCGTGTCAACACTACTTGGGTCGTCAGTCTCTGAACGATCCTGCTACTCTAAACAGGTGATTTCGGAATATTCGAAGCGATTAATTGCCATCGCCCTCGATTGATTTTGTCCAACGAATTTTCCTTTCTATCTTCTATCCTTTCAGAGCTGTAGCTTGTTCCAGTTGCGTGGGACACTCTGTATACTCGCAACCATGAGTTCGATCACGCTCGGTGTACACACCGTCGAAATAACGAGGTCAACTCGTCGAGAAGGCAAATCGACGGATAGACTCTCGGCTTGTCCTACTAGGCGATGCAGCATCCGTTGCTCTGATGGCGCGTTTTGCCGCTCTTCGACATCGTGAAACCAGGACAACACTGATCCTGGTGCGTCAACGACTGCGAGTTGCTGAGATCGCTATGGAACGTGGTGTAATTCTCTTTGCTCTTCTGTCGCTTCGAGACATCGGAATCGGCAGACGCAGCTCTGTCGTCGCGAGACTCCTCCGACGACGAGCTCGAGCTC